TCTCCCCCAAAACAAAACATTTTTGAACTTTCAAGGTGATATTCGTGATCAGCATCAAATTCTGCATCGGATGGTGTACCTTTTAGCGAAAAACAAAAAGTGCTCGAAATTTGCTTTACGTGCACCTTACAAGAAGGTCATAAAAAAACGCGTTTACATATACACAACGCAAAGTGAAAGAAATAAAGTTTTGCTTTCAACAAATCATTTGTCCATTAGTAAAAATAACGGCTAAATTTGTTCTTGATATGATGGAAGACCAACAATACAAAGAACAGTTCCAAGTGCCCTATGAATCGTGGAAGTGAAACAATAAATGTATCATCACTCGCTTCATCTAGACTATCTAAGACTTTATAATGCGTATATCCGTCCGTATTATCAATCACTTCTAAACATATACCCAATCTTGTCAGTCAGCAAGCAAAATCAACCAGAAGCTTTAAATGGACAACATTTCGATTAGTACACAGGTGGTACGACTAAAAAAATGTTGAAGTTGTAAACCTACCTAGTTACAAGTCGATAGAAACTCTCACTCAAATACACTGAAACAAATTGATTTCTACTATTCTTACCACTAACCCTGCTGTCCTTTCAGATTTCCTTCAAAATAAACTTTCAACTGTTTATCTTCGTGAATATTGTAATAATCCTTCTCTTCAGGATCAAAGACATGAAATTTTTGATCGAGGTAGACCGCGAAATAACCTGTTAAACATTATGAATCAGAAGCGTTTGTCATTGTTCGATTATGTTTTTTGTTATTAGAAAAATATTGCGAAACTCATTGTCCTTACGTCGTGCTAGGCCATAATTGTATGTTCAAATTGGTTTTTTTTCGTTTTCTACCAGAAATGAAGTTCGTCCAGGAGTTTCTTCTTGTCTTGTATGAACAATAATAATAATAAAAGCACTAACACACATCTATATGCACATATAGAAACGGAAGAATAAGAAAATACGTCCGATATTTATTTATTGGGAATATCTGTGCTTTTAAAGCTGTTTCTCATCACCTAATACTAATGAACTAAACCTTTCAAGATATAGAGCATTCAGTACATATCAGAACATAAAGACGAGTATAGCACTTTCGTTTCTAAACGATTTCATAATATGGATGATTATATTGCTCGAATGAGTATGGAGACGGAATACGAAGATTATCTCACTTTGATTGCCTGCGCTATTGCATTAAAACCTAATATAATCGTACACGAATTACATAGAGAAACTTTATTTATACTAGATTCAGATTTTATTGATGAACAAATTCATGTACTATATGACAGAACAGCTACATCCTATGAAAGTATACGATGTTCCGATGGTTCTATACTAATCTTGTTTGAAGAAAATCTACTGAGAATGTAAATGCGATTTTCTTCTGAACAACCTTATAATTTCATTACTAACTGTTTTTCTTCTTCTTCTTCCAGTTTAATCTAACTGTATTGTTTCTTGATTTGTAAAAATCATGAATTTTATTTCAATTACTACTTGTTATTCTAGTTTTCCTTTTCCCTAACATAGTCTACCGCTTCTCGTATTTGCTTTTCGTATTTAGTGTGTTTTCAAAACATAATAAAAAATGTATTTTTTCTAACTTTTTGCAATGCATTGGAAAAACGACCAAGGCAGAACTCTTCAGAATCTGTAAATCCAACTTTTTCAAAGGATCAAAAACAGCAATTTGCTCAAAGAAATCTTTTTATTCCCATGCTGGACTCAGTTGGGTTAAAGTTTCGAAAAACATTCACCCAATATTACCACTAACACAAACGTTCACTCTTCCTTAATATTTCTCTTTAAATCGTGTGAACTAGAGGCATACGACTAAGGAGTAAGTTAGAAGAAGTTGTACATGCACATCGCACTCAAGCATGATCGCTGTCCGAGAGTATTTTCATCCTAAACAGGTCTGCAGACCGAAATCGGAATAAGATCAAAAATTTAAAAACTCTGGAAGAAATCATATTGACAATGAAAATCGACCGAACAAGAACAACTTCAGAAATCATAAAATCAGTGCGGCCATAAGATGTTTTGTTGAATGTCATATTCAACCAATCAGGTCAAAACTTGACCCCCTATCAGTATACAATATTCATCCGAGAACCACAAAACGTTCTCCGACGTTAGTTAAAATTCCGTAGAAGACCCATATTTTAGAAGAATGACACTATAGACTTCAGCTAGAAATGTTGAGTTTTCCCAGAGTTATTCTCAAAATAAGGGTGAAAAGGGAGGTGCTCAGTCGACAAAGACTCCTCCGCCATTTTAAGTGCTGAATAGCTCTAGAACAAAGATTGAGAGGTGTGACTACAAGTTAGTGACAACATAAACTGTTTAGCGCGCTCGGATCAGGAGTCGTTTACGTTTTCCAATGTATGCCGATGTCTTCCATCGTTCAAGTCTTTTACTGTATCCTGCAATGTGCTTTTTCGTGCTCAAATCGACAACAAATAAAATAAAGTTAATAAAATAAAGTCATGCCACCAGATGGTCAGTGGCCAGATTCAAACTACTATCACACATATGGAATTTCATTCGTCTTAACCACGGTGAGAGTAGTAATGTGAATCATCTGCAGTTGAGTGGCTACACTATTATTCAGCCATTACTTTCTAAACAAACGACAATTACATAGTTGAAGAAAATAGAGTTCTACTCAACATACTTCAATTTTGCTTTGATTCGTCGAATGTCATCTTCACTTGTGACAACATCTTGATGAGTGGATAGAAGTGAATGGCTGCTAATTGTGGCTGCTTTCTGAAAGTACTCGAGTGCCAGCTGATTCTTGTTTGTGGCTTCATGCACAAGACCAATACCCCTGTATGTGTTAGCGATAGAAGGATGAGTGGGTGGAAGAGAGTTTGTCATTATTCTCAATGACTTTTCATAGTTCGACAAAGCCATATCATATTCGCCTTTCTGATAATAAACACTACCGATGTTCATATATGATTGACCTACACGTGGGTGATTGGCAGGAAGAACCTTCTTCTTTATCTCTAGTGACCTCGTGTAGTTAGTGATTGCTAAATCAAACTTGTTTTCATTCATGTAGATGTTTCCCATGTTGTTGTAGATACCAGCAACAGATTCATAATTTTCACCATAGCACTTCAACCATATTGACAAGGCTTTCTCATAGTTCTGCAGTGCTGATTCATTATCGCCCATCTTCGCATAAACCCCACCAATGCTGTTGTAACTATACCCAATATTTGTATGGTCTGGTGCTAGTGTGTGGAGATAGAGGGTGAGTGATCTGTTGTGATGTTCAAGAGCCAATGTGTAATCGCCTTTGGCATTAGCAATTTCGCCACGTAGATGATAACATCGTGCCTCTTCTGGATCATTCTGTGACAGTTCAACAAATCGTCGTTGAATACATGTCTCAGCCTTCTCATACTCACCCATATACAGCAACAAATGTCCAAGTGAATAGAATGTCGCCTCACCTTCTCCAATGTCCTTCTTCATATGATCCATCAGTTGCTTCATCTCCTCATCATCTTGAGTGCATAACACCAACTTCACCATCCACACATCACCATCACGATCTACTTTCTCAATTCGAAACACAGCACCGAGCATGAATAATACTTCATTTTCACCTGGAAAATAACTCATATGTGAGAGGGGTGCAAATGGAGCTGTCTGCAGACGAGTATCAGCTTCGACCACAAACAGTACTTTCTCCATATCATTCGAGACAGTGTGAATGAAGGAGAGTGCTGTCTCTGGATTAAGGCTTGTGGATAAGAAAGAGCGCATCGATATGAGCTCTCCTACACTCTTTCTTATCTTTTCCACTTCTTCTTTTGCCATGTTTTGACCACGATAGACGGTGATGACGGAGTGATGATTGTGCTGTTCTCGCTGAAGTTGTTTGTGGATGTCGGTGATGAGAAAGCGAAATGTGATCAAAGTATCGATGTCTTGTGAAACTAGTCAAGTATGACACGCCGCTCGGCTAATCCTACATCATTGAGGCAGCATAGTGCTATCGGTTCCTGTTAGCTCTCGAATCGAGACGTGACAAATGAGTGGCGTCGTTGTTGAATATCTAGAGCGAACGAAGCGCTTTGTTAAGCATTTTGTACAGGAAACACTCGCGAGTGTACCACCACACAGCACTCATCGGCGAATAGTTTTCTGTGAACTCACGAAGAACTTCGAGCTCAGCTTCATTTCCTTTGTAATTCGTTTCGCAAATGT